GTGTTTTTATCTTTTTTCTTTCTTCCCCCCCTTCTCACCTTCTCTTCTCCCCTTTGGTTTTCTTTCTCTCCCTCTCTTTCTTTCATTCTTTCCCCCTGTCCTATCCCCCAGTCAAGTCTGTCCCGTTTGTAGCAACTGAAAATAAAATAAATACATAATTATAATAAAGGTCAATCAAATGGACCAATATGGCAAGGCCATGATGATCCACTTGGTAAAATAAATCCGCTTGGCATCTTTCTTGGCCTTAAGACAACAATTCTGATGGCTAAAGATCCAAACGGGACACACAAAAAAAAAATACCAAAAGCTGGTTCGTGGACAGATTACCAAACTGATCCATTTTTATGGAGAGTAATGTGCAATACCTGATGCCTTTTAGTGGTGAATGATTTATTGAAATTATTTCCGATTATTATAACATATATTCTAATTCAGACTAGATTTGAAATATATATTTAAAGTAAACAGCTTTGACCAAACAATATAACTAAAATTTGATTTCAGGTACAAAAACACGACGAATTGTTCAGCCCTAGTTGTCATTATCAGTTAGTAAAAGTTATTCCTCAGTTGCCCATGGTTTACAGTCTGCTTAAACAAGATTGAATCATTAGCAGAAGAAATTTCTCTTGCCACTGCCTGCAATTTTTAAATCACTGAAATGAATAGTTTTATTGCACTTTTCTGTAAATAAGTAAAATAGATTTTTTTGTACACCACCTTTATTGTAATATCTATAGTGTCAATTCGAGATTTCAAATTGTTCCTTAGAAGTTTTATGGTTTATTTTCTTGTCGAAATTAAAAATCAGAGTATGTTTTGCTCTCAAGAGTTTGCATTGTGAATGTTTGTGTAAATGTTTAGGAATTTAACAAAACAAAACAAAATGTTCATTTCAGTATTTGAAATTCAAAATGTTTGTATACAATGTTATTGTTTAAATGTTAGGTTTTTTTTCTTGTTTTGCTAATGTATTTTAAAGATATGACAAAATAAAAACATTAAAAAAAAAAAGAAAAAGGAAAGGCGCATATTGTTTGGTCACAATTTTCTATCTGTTTTTTGTCCTGTCTCAGTTTGTCTTGATTGCCAAATATGTCTTGACCTGTGTTGCCACTCAGTGAAGCCTGCAATTGCATGAAAAAGTAATACGTTGAGGAAAGAGAAGTCACTACTGAGTCAATATGTATATAATTGGCTTTTCTTAAAATTGTAAATCTTAGAACTTACATGCAGCTTTTAGTCTTATTTACTGTCCTAGCA